GATTCTGGGCATCTGGGACTCATCTTTTGTCTCCGTCTCTCTTGGTGACAGGTGGGATGGAGACTCAAGGTCTTTCTAGACTGGGTGGCACCCAGGCAGCCAGACAGAGGAGCAGTCTGCCTTCCTGGACTTCTGTGAAAGACTTTTTCATAGGTAGAAGGTGAGCCGTGTCCTCTGACACCTTCTCTCTCACAATTCTGGCCAGCATAGGATGATGTTTTAGAGGGTTAAGAGAAGAAAAACAGGATCTGATAGCGTAAATACTATTTGGGTTTAGCAATCAGTGTAGGAGGGAAATGTGTCAACACGCCTAGAAGTGTCTCCTTTGGAAATACTACCATGGGACAGTACTCTTCCTTGCTACATTTTCTATCAAGTTCCAGGTTTTCTACAAGAAGGAACAGGGTTACTTTTCTAAGACAAACATATTTATTCTTTTTGCAAAGTATTCTGAGTTAGGGGTGTAGCTTAGTGGTAGAGTGCTTATCTAGCATGCATGAGGTCCTGGGTTTGATCCCCAGCACTGAAAAAAAAAAGTTATATCTGAAAACTTGCAATTGATAATAAAATGTGAATGTGTAGTTAAAAGTTTACTGTGCTACTTTCTGGAATGTCACCTGAGCCTTCAAATATGAAATAACACACTCCCCAGAGTCTCCCTGTCCTTCTTGCCCTCTTTATTCTTCTTCACGATATTGTTCACAACCTGTTATAATTTGTGCTTATTGAATTGTCCCTTGTCTTTTCTTTGTCGACCACTAGCATGTCACTGGCATGGGAACAAGGGCTCTGCCTTGTTTATTCCCAGCCTGGAGCAGGCCTGGCAGTGAGAAGGCCCAAGCTCAATGTATGTTTTTTGAATGAATGAATTTTCTGCTTGTTAGCAATTTCAGTTTTACTCGTAACACATTTCTGAGCTATTCATGCAATGAACTGTTATTGCTTATATGATCAGAAAAAAAAACCAGAAACAACATAATGGAGAGATATCTCAGTTGTAGCAATTGTGAATGAACTTCTTTTATAAAGTAGCGAGCATTCTTTTAAGTCTCAAAAATACACAAGAAACTGCTGGCAAGTCACTGTTGAGCTGGGTGAGAGGACAGATGTGTAGGAGAAAGATTCCTCGTACAGAGCCACTATTCGTCTGCAGTCCTCAAAGGTAAACAGGATGGACCTGTGTAAATCTGCATCCCCAGAAGGCAGGCTGGGGAGCCCATGTGCTCTCTGTCTCTCCCTCTTGCCTGACTGTCCACCTTTTGGTTTTGGGTCAGGAGGTAGGAGATATGTTTGCCAACAGGCTTCCTGAAATCCTCTCTGATTTAGACTTCCAGATCCTCATGAGGGTGGGCATCAGAGGGAGGGTACCAGGCTTGGCCCTTGCTCCTTGGGAGGACAAGCTGGGGTTGATCTGGATTCAGTTATTGAGGCATCTTGTTCTCCACCCTTTGGAGCCTGCTCCTCCAGGGTGAGTCCACTAAGCCTTTGCTTGCTCCCTGTTCCTTCCCTCCTCCCTTTATCTAGGTTAACCATCGTCCACAAAGTGTGTTTTCTATGCCTGGGAATACTACCTCTTTAAGTGACACTCAGAGTTATCTTCAAACCTTGGTTTATGTTGTCTGCCATCCTGGCAAACATCTTGGTCCTTTGTGAAGCTTTCTGATCTCTGATAACAGCGTTTCCAATCACAGACTCTCTCAGATTGTAACAACTTCGCTGAGTGGGGGGTTTACTTAGTGACCCTTTCTCTGTGCCTACCATCAGCACCTCCTTTCTTTCTGCCTCTCCAGACTTCCAAACATTGTGTTGTTTCTTCTCACACAAGCAGGCTCACATCAGTAGAAGCAGTGGCCTCCCAACTGCACCAAGGGACACATATTTCTATATACAGATGCTCCTCAACTTGTAATTGGGGTTATGCCTCAATAAAACCATCATAAATTGAAAATGTCTTAAGTCAAAAATGCATTTAAGCTGGGCATGGTGGTGCATGCCTGTAATCCCAGCTGCTAGGGAGGCTGAGGCAGGAGGATTGCGAGTTCCAAGCCAGCCTCAGCAAAAGCGAGGTGCTAAGCAACTCAGTGAGACCCTGTCTTTAAATAAAATACAAAATAGGGCTGGGGATGTGGCTCAGTGGTCAAGTGTCCCTGAGTTCAATCCCCAGTACCAAAAAAAAAATGCATTTAATATGCTTAACCTGCTGAACCTCATAGCTTAGAAACATTATGATACACTGTAGAGCATTGGTTATTTTCTCCCTGTGATTGTGTGGCTGACTGAAGCTGTGGCTTGCTGCTACTACTCATGAGAGAGTGGGGCATTGCATGCCACCAGCCCAGGAAAAGATCCAACTTCAGAATTCCAAGTATGGTTTCTTTCTTTTTTTTTTTTTAATAGATGTGTGTGTGTGTGTGTGTGTGTCCGTGTGTGTGTGTGTGTGTCCATGTCTGTGTGTGTATATATGTATATTTAGCTATTGATGGACCTTTATCTTATTCATTTATTTATATGCGGTGCTGAGAATTGAACCCAGTGCCTCACACATGTGAGGCAAGTGCTCTACCACTGAGCCACAACCCCAGCCTGCCAAGTATGGTTTCTACTGACTTTGTCTGACTGTCACACCATCATAAAGTTGAAGAACCCTCTGTTGAAGCATTGTAAGTTGAGAACTGTCCACAGTTTTCTTTAGCTCTATTTCCTTTCATCTCCTTTGTGTGTTAGTTGTGTCTCCCTCTTCATTTTGATGAAGTCCAAAGGCCTTCTGGAAATTTCTGTGATCTCTGGGAACTGGCAAGCTCCAAGTTCCTGCAACTTGGGTACCACTAAGATTTACATCCACATTTCATAGTGATTCTTCCCCTTCTGCTCCCACTGACTCTGGGATGGCCTCTTTTTGGTTTTCCCTCAGAATCATTCACACATAATGTTTATTTGAGAAGTGGACTTTATTGAAAAGGTTGGGTGTTTTCACATTGCAGCTGGGCAGTCAATTTTAGCACGAAGTTATTAGACATTTCTGCTTCTAAGTAGGCTGKAAACTCTCCCTGTTCCCTCTCCCCAGGCTCAGGACTCTGCCAGGTGTCTTGTTTCCCTCCCTTTCCCTAGACAAGGTGAAGCCACCTATTCCCACCTCTCCCCACCTCTCCCAGGACCCAAGTAGATAAAGTCACTTTCATATTTTAAGCAATTTACCTTGAAAAAACCCCAAAAAGTTGAAAAAAAATGAAGGCATTGGAAAACCTCACAATAATAAGAGAGCAAATGTGGGCCATCATTGCAGACGCTCCCTCTCACAGGACCACAGGACACATGCCAGCCTCAGCACAACCGCCTGCAGCCTTTCCTACCCAAAAGACCTAGCCTTGTGTCTGCTCTCAGTCTTCTTTGCTTTAAATGGATCTTGGATGTGCAGAAGTTGAACAATGGTGACCCTCATTTGTGACATACTCTCATCGTTGGTCCTTGATTGTTCTATTTACCTATTTGTAGAGTCATGTGTCTGCCTCTGRTCCATGGCATTATCAACAACTTTAACTGTGGGGAGCCACTCTGAATGACCCATGCCTTCCAGTCCTGAAGCAAGAGGCTCTGACCAATCACTACATTTCAAGGTGACTTGGACATTGTCCCAGCTCCAGAAGTAGAAGGCGTGTCTTCAGATGTAGGTGTCACCCCTGAGATTGAACTACACTCACCTAGTCTTTTGTAACCCTGCTCCTTTGCTCTGTTTGGGATGGAATGTTCCATGGAAACTCCCTTTGTGTGTCACCTTCTCTTGCTCTGCCTTTGGGTGTGGCCTTCCTAGATGTCAGTTAATCAGCAGACATCGTGAAGCTAGACTCAACCCTCTGAAACCTGACCCCTTGCCTCATTTGAATGGTTTTCCCCCAATAAGAGGGTGCAGCACATTCTCTCTCTCTCTCTCTCTCTCTCTCTTTCTCTCTCTCTCTCTCCACTGATCCCTAAGAACAGAGGAGCTGGCACAGGACCCAAAGAAAAAGGTATCTCTGCTTCTCGTGTGATTATTTCATGCAGCTCGGTTCACCTGCCCAGTTCACCTGGAGTGACCTTGAGTGTTAAGTCGTGCAACACTATACTCATCTACCTCTGGGTTCCCACCATATTTCATTCCATGGCCTCCCTTCCTCCCCGATCCTGACAGGTTCATCTTTCTTCATTTTATTTTTATTACTGGCTTACCTCTAAGAAATAGCATTACCTCAAATTTTGGGAGTAGCCAGTTTACTTTTCAAAAGAAACAATATGGAAGGGAAACTTTTCCTACCTGATACCAGAATGGAATAATGCTGCAACAACTTGCCTATCTAACCAATTCAGGGTCATCTCTTTCCACTTATTTCAGTGTCCTCTTCCAGAATGCTAAAGTGACCAGGTGAGAGAGCTTGGATTCCCCTCAGAGAGGCCTGGAAACCAGAAAAATGGAAAGGCTGATAGGGCGACGGCATGGAAAGCCATCCTCAGAGCTGGTAGGTTTACTTGGGGATGAGGAATATAGCTCCAGAGATGCACAGCCACACTGCTGATCCCAGGACCCTGTAGTGTCACTCTTCTAGTGCCCCTTCTCACAAAGCTCATTACAAGGTCAGGACAGTATAGCAGTGAACAGAAGGATAGTCTTTAAATTAGATGGGTATTTCTGTCCTGTGCATGGCCTCTGCCCTGAGCTTCTTGAGCTTTTTGTGGCTGGGACTCTCAGGGAACAGTTGGTACCTGGCCCTTGAGAATTTTATTCAGAAGGACTAGTGACAGTTCTAGAGGCTACAGAGGCCATAGGCAGCAGCCTGAACAGCAGCCTCTAAGCCCAGGTCCAGCAGAAGAAGATGGTGAGGAAGGCCAAGTCCACAGGGTGTCTACCCATCAGGGCTGTCCAGAGAGTGGCATATATAATACCAAGGTCACCTGCAACATCCAGTAGCCAAACATGAGCACTATCCAGACCTTGAACACCCAGAGTGGGGCTAGTCAGGGACACAGACCTTGATGGTAAACACCAGAGCCAATRGGAAGACGGGGAGCAACAGCAGCCTGTGCACGCAGGTCTCCAAGGCCTTCTGTGTTCCATGGGGGCCACCATTTGGAGCAGCATCACAAACGAGGCCAAGGCTGAGACCACTCACTCCTGTTTCATGCTCTTCTGGGTCAGCCATGTCTAGCTCCTGAGCTCCACCAGGTCACTAAGTAGGAAAAGCCCCAACATGATGGCATGCTGCCTTAAATTGTGGTTCTAGAAAGGCCACCAACAGTCTTCCAAGTTTATAAGGGAAAAATGGYTGAACCCAGGTAGGAAGAAGAACTCCACAAAGATGGAGACAAGAAGTCCCAGCCTTCACCATTTCTTCCCCATGTACCTGTTACCAACGCTCCTGGCCTCACTTATCCCTTGAGGAAAAGTGGGAGGAAGAGGAGCTCTTTGACCCCAACAGAGGGTTCAGGACACCATCACTTTATAGTAGAGTAGTAAGTGACCAGCCTGGGAAGCAGATGTCCAGGAGAGTGGCATGCTGTCACCAACTGTCTGCTCAGAAGTAGAATCGGAATTGTGAGTGACTRTTGCCACCAGGGGCATGTCACCTCTGAACTCTCAGAACAGTCCCAGTTCACCTGTCTCTGTTGCCAAATTTGGGTCAGACATAGGGATCATGTGGGCCCAGGTCTGTTTTCAGGTGGCTGACAAGGCAGAGCTCCAGGTGAGGGTGATACTTCTGATACTAGTTTGCTCCCTTCCTCRGTTTTGAGCTCTTATTCCTCCATTGAGCTCACACACTAAAAGAAAGCATGAAATACTTATCACAAAGGAAGTTCTCAGCAGATAGAATTCTCTTCATATACAGACAAAACAATTTAGTAAGCTTCTTATCTATTTTATTCCTAGGGACACTAGGATCAACTAGCCAATGCCGTAGTTCTGCATGAATCACACTATTCTGATAATTGTCTTGWTTGCTGTCCAATATTGTAGCCAGACCCATCTTGACATTGGCAGTTGAGTGCCACACACTTGGCTCCTGTCACTCTGAGATTCAATGGCTTCCATTACACTTATGTTTCTCAATTCAGTGAGTGCAGCAAGGTCCAGTCTACAGAGAAGAGCAATTGCAGAGTTCTTTATAGCTCCCCTCACAAATATCTCACAGTGTTGGTGAAATGTATGTCTTATAGATTCTACAAGTTGGGGTAAGTCTTAAATGACAAATCCCCTCTAACATTTCAATCTCTCTGAGCCTTTTAAATCCCATCTTCTCCATTAAACCAAGTCCTATCCAGCATTTCCAGTTAGCTCACTGTGGGCCACCTTTGATCCATGAGTCAGCCGGCCAAACTGTTGGAGCCTTCTCTAACTCCCTATGTCACAACATTAAAGGCAGAATCATCTTAGTGCGCCCATATAAATATATTTGCTCTGATCCAACTTTAGGTATCTTTCACTATTATCTATATCCTTTTTTTTTTATTGGCGGGGGGGGGGTGCTGGGGATTGAACCCAGGGCCTTGTACATGTGAGGCAAGTACTCTACCGACTGAGCTATATTCCCCAGCCCTTATTTCACATTCTCAATATCCATTCTCATATGTGTTCTCCAGTGTAAAATTAAAAAACTCAAGTAGTTCTTTTGGGCTATAGCACATTTCCTCTTGGGGTAACTTTGTACCTCATCTTTACCTGAGTCTAGTTGTAGTCTAGAAGTAGAGAGGGATCCTAGGGGTGGATCCTGAGGAGAATCAGCATGGCAATTGTCTCAGGAGGGCCATTGTAGTATCCTTAGGCAATGCAGGGTTTATCTCCTTAAATGGAGATAAGCGGGCCATTTCCATTGCCAGAGAAGACTCATTAAATTTAGGGAATCAATGTCCACAGCCTCATCAGTTCTCTCACACTTTATCATCTCAACTTACATCATCAACTTCTTTTCCAATCAATGCTTTAATTTTAAAAGTAGATTCCCTGTGAGGTTAGGAGTTCAACTAGTGTTGTAACTCAGCTAGTTATGGGATGAAATTCTCTGTTTAGTTTTTGGCCTGGAACTACAAGAGATAAAGGTCTCCTTCAGGGCACATGAAAAAGCTCTTAGGTATGTATGCAGCTCTAGAGCTAGGTATTTGAATCCTTGAGCTCATTCTTTTCTTTCACACCCCCCCCCTTCTCAGAGACATCAGGAGCAAATAGCTAATCTCATATTCATTAGTTTTGCGAAAGTGTTTAAAAGTAGCACATRCATAGTTTCACAACCCCTTGCTTCTTGGAAATGGTTGGTTAGGAGTCTAGAGAGGAGATATTTTGCCTATTTCCATTGTCATATCATGCCATGTACTACTACTGTTCTCTTGAMTATTGATTGGAAATAGAGTCATCAATGTCTTTAAATATATAATCAGGTTAGAGATCTAGTTCCTCAAACTCCAGAACCCATACAGGAAACTTTTTTAAAATTCTGGTCCTTTAGAATCATTCTCAGTATGAAAATCTTTGTTAGTCAGCGTTCTTCAGAGGAAAAGAATTAACAGGAGGCAAATTAAATATACTGAGAAGTCTCATTATCTGCCACCTGCAAGCTGGGGACTCAGGAAAGCTGGTGGTTTCAGTCTGATTCTAAAGGTCTAAGAACAGAAAAGAACAGAAAGAGGGCTGGAGTTGTAGCTCAGAGGTAAAGCACTTGCCTAGCATGTGTGAGGCACTGGATTTGATTCTCAGTACAACATATAAATAAATAAAGTTTCATTGACAACGAAAAATAAAATAAAATTATATATATATATATATATATATATATATATACATATATATATATATATCAGAAAGATGATGTTGTAAGTTCCATATGAGGGCAAAAGAAGACAACATCCAGCTCAAATAGTCAAGCTGAGAGAAAATTCTTTCTTCACCTTTTTGTTTTAATTGGGTCCTGGGCAGAGTGGATGGTGCTCACCCATGTCAGGAAGAGCAATCTGCTTTACTCAGTCCACCAACTCAAATGCCAGTATCATCCTCAAGCACCCTCACAGATATGCCCAGAGATCATTTTTAACATCTATCTGGGCACATCATGACCATATAAATGAATCATCTCAAGTCTCATTAGCCTTCATGTTAAATAGATCCTTTTGTAGAAGAGATGTCAGATGACTCCAGATATATCTGAGCATATCTCCTACCTTTCAGAAACTATTTTATAGATATATAAGATCCAACATTCTGTAGTTGGATTCATACTATATATGCAATTTTTTATTCTTCTTCCTCCTGAACTCATTTAATTTCTCAAAATTCATGACCTATCAAATATAGTTTTCATTTAAATTACAAATGGCTTTTCATTAAAATTACAAAATAYATAATTTTCTATTCTAAATAGAAAAACCTATTATTATGAGCATGATTGCAAGGGTCACATATATCCAGAGTACTCAATTACCTTTAGTGCCAACTTTCTCAATTCCAGCTTAATTGTTCATGATTTGCATCAAGCTGAAATTAATGTAGCTATCTCACACTTTCCATCTGACAATAAAAGTACTTAAAACCTTTCTGGGCCTTTAATTAAATTTATCAGCACACATACATGTTGCTGCAATTCTAATCATCCTAAAAAATTAAGAAAAGCACAAATAATTATACCACTTACTATGTTCCAAGATCCTGCTCTCAGCATTTAGCATATATGTGAACTCATTGAATTCTTCACAACAATTCACATGAACCCTTTTCCAGAAAAGGAAGCAGAAGGCAGTAACCAGCCCAAGGTCATTCATTGGTCAATGGAGACCTCACCTAGGCTGTCTCTGCTATCCTAGGCAAAGTTTTCGTCTGTGAATTTCTGCATCTTTCCCCATCTGTAAGAATATAGCCACAAATGTGGTGACTGTGTTTCAATCATAGTCTGCTCTCTTTTTTCTCTGCTGAAAAATTCCTGAACCTATTTTAGAAGTGAACTTGCACTATGTCTGAACACCTGGTGTCTTCTGGTGCAAGGATGTCCTGGAGCCTGGCAAACCCCCAGAGGTTGTGAATTCAATTTCGGTAGACTCCTTGGGGTGACACTCAGGCACATCTTTTGGGATTCTTGCCCCATAAAATGTCACACAACCAGGTTGGGCACAGTGGGGGTCAGCGTGTAGGCAGCTGGGAGGATTTCATCAGACYTGCACGGTAAGGGTAATAAGGCTTGTTCTGCCTGTTTGGTGTGCAGTTGTTGTAACTAATAATGAGAGAGAGAGAGACAATAAACTGGCTTGGAACCCAGCAGAGGAAATAGAGTCTTTTGAGATCCTGGAGAGCTTCATCCCCAAAAGCAGCCTAGTTTAGATGCCAATACTCATGAGCTCTGCATGGGTCTGGGGGCACTTTTGTGTAGACAGCAGTGGTAAGGAGGTGCTATGGTTTGGATATATGTTCCCCAAAGGCCCTGTTGTTAAGGGCTTGGTCTCCAGGATGTTGCTATTGGGACATGGATATCTTAGTGTTGTAGGGACAGATGAAACAAGGCACCCAAGACAGTAGGAAATGGTTTTATTTGGCTACAGCTAGGTTCAGAGGGCACAGTTTTTACTGTAATCAATCAGTCTCCTGAACCCTGAGTTCAGATAATTTCAGATTTTTATACCCAGCATGTAAGGTGAGAGGCTCAGAAGTTCACAGTCTGTAGAAGTTCACATAAAAGCAGTTTTTTTCTTTCACTATTCTGGGAAACACCTGAGAAGGGGAGAGCATCTTCTCCCCTTTCTTTCCTCCTCCTGCCATCTGTTATCATGGAGCCCAATTGGCAACTTCTCTTATCTTAGGAATGTAGACATCTCTGTGAAGCCCAGCTCAAGGCCAGAGGCTTTATTTACACATTTCTACAAACTACTTTGCTGGATACATGTTTGTGAAAAACTAGTAAYGGGGTGCCCAGCACCTGGAGTGCTGATTTCTTCCCGGCCAGTGGCCAAGTAAAACAGGGCAACACGAAAATAGAAAGTTTATCTACATTGAACTCTTTTGCAGAGACTCTTTTGCTGACATTCCTAAAATCAACCATGGTGAAGATTTCTGGAGAAGCCAGAGTTTTCCGTGGAGAAAGGGGGTGTCACTATATTAGGAGATAGGGCCTTATGGGAGGTCCTTAGGTCATTGCCCTTGAAGAGGACTATTAGGCTCCAATCTCTTCCT